TAATCAAAAAGCCTCAAAGCAACTGGAGATAACATGACTAGTAACAACTGGTCTCAAACTAGGTTTTAACTTTTTCATAAAGATCAGAGGGAAATATTCAACATTTAAAAATACTACACACTAAATACTATTCAGTATGTCAAAATGGCAGTATCTGTGTGAGCCAGGACTTAAATAATACAAGTCCACTAGAGGACATATCAGGTAGTGCAGGTAACTGCCTGAAACCCACTACTTGGTATTTAGCATAGGAATTATGTATCAGAAACACCGAGTAATTAATAAAGTTTAAAAGGCACCCAGTATTAAAACTGGATGGCATTCTACTAATGTATTTAGAATCAAACTACAGAAAATAACCTCTGACTAGAATAGTGTGTATGATACAAAAGGAAAAGAGAAATCCCAGGCAAGAAAATTTGCCCATTTACTTCTTACTGAGTTATGCATGGATCAGCAAAATAATTCTGTAAAACATTTGGCTAAATTACTACTTTGAGTGAATTCAGTGCAAGAGATTGTTTCAAAGAGATCACAGTTCATGTTTTAATATATGTTTACCAGATGTCGATTATAGTTCTTTCTGTACCAAAAACAAACAGAAACCCCAATGATGACATGAAGAGAACTAGAAGAATTTTAGGTTATGTGGCAACAGACTGTTCATGCAGAGTAATTATACTAGGAATAGAGACACAGCTGTTGGTTGGGGGGGGGGGGTGTCCCCACAAAGTATAACAATGATCAGAAGTTGTGAGAAGAATAAAGCCATTAAGATTAAGTATTTAGAAGGCTAAATACAGATCTGAGCGAAGTGCAATGATTTACACAATCTATTAAAAAATGCAGAAATACTGCTATTTTCCACATAGGTATTGGAATTTTTCTCAGAGTCAGAAAAATAAAAGTCTTTGAGACTTGTAATTTACATAAAACATACAAACGTTCACCACCATTCTTTGAAGAATCTCCATTTTAAACAGGTTGTTAAAAGCTACAGCTCGATACGAAGTTGCATTAATGCATGCTGGATATAATTCATAGACATTTTCTATAGTTTGAAAAAAAAAAACCTACATTACTTGCAGGCATTTTATTTAGTTTTATTTTAATAGCAAAGCCTGTGTGCACACTTCAAGTTTGCTTTGAAAACAAAGCAAATGCACTGTCATTTTAATAGTGCATCTGGCAGTACTGTACGCCAATACAATAGCCAGCACAAAGGCAAGACTGAGTATTGCAAAACAAGCTCTAGATGCATTTTTGCCACAACAATTTGTAGAACCTGTGTTTCAGTTTTGCCGGGACAGATGTAAACTGTCTTTTCAGCTAACCGTAAGACCTTAGGAGAAATACAACCACTTTACTGAAAAACACAATTTTCTTATCTAGAAACAATTTCTTACTTCTGCAGTAGTGAGTTATAATGTAGTTTCCCCAGAACAAGGAATTCTCCGCTTCGCCCTGTTTTTTAGGTGTTGTTGGTTTGGGGTGTTTTTTTCATGTTTAAATACAAAACTTAAAACTTTGCCACAGGCCTTCATGTGTTGGACAATTCATGGTTGCATACCATGGCTCACAGCATGGCAGCGATGGGTGGCCCAACGACAGTAGCTCAAAAACTGTTCAGAGTCAGCCACAGTGGCTCTAAACAGGAAATCTGGAGGCTGATGGAGATCAGTGCAGGAGCTCTATGGAAAATAAGATGTATGTCTAGAGAAAGCTTAACTATTTCCCCAAATCTTTCTGTTGAACTGATGTGGTTTTGAAAAAAACCTTGTTAGGAATTGGGGGCTGGGGGAGAAGAAGAATTTGTGTATTCGCATAAGTGTCAAAGACTGAACAATCTTAGCCTCTATGGAAATTAACAATAGGCAGCAAACATTTTTGGTTCTGTAACAGTAAGTTTATGTTTCTATTTGCCAGTGAAGATAAAAATTAATCATGCTACTTCATAAAGTTCAATAACGTCCATTATCTGAGTGCATGTCATGGTTAAAAAAATGAAGAAAGTTTCTCCACTGCAGTTATTTTTAAAAGACAAAGTAGAAGGTGGGTGGTTTATAAACAGTCATAGGATGAGGCTAAATCTACTTTACTTACATCCATGCTGGTTCTATGAATTCTGCAAGAATGAATACTCACACTGCACTCAGTAATCCAATTAATTTTTAAAATTTTGCTAATTTCTTCACAAGGCAACTTTGGCCAACCTATCTTTGCAAGTGTTTGATGCACATAGTCACCATATTCAATTACGAATCAGATGCCGTACACAGATCCTATCCTCTAGGTGATTCCTATTTAAAATATTCTGTTTTCCATTCAATGAGTTGAAGGGAACAGCAGCAAGTTTTGTTGTTGCTTTTGTCTGAATAAGCTGTTAATGTTTATATAAAATATTGGTTTAGATGTAGGAAATTTTGATTACAGATCAGAACCTATTTTACTAAAAAGTATTTGCCTTTATTGCAGAAAAGGACTATCAGAAAGAAGAAGGAAAAAACCAAACCTATCAGAAGTTAAACATTTATACTCCAAGTTAAATAATTCTTTCCTCAACCCTCGCATGTAGGTTGTTTCATTCAAATGTGAATTCAGATAAAAAGTGTGAGAGGATTTAATTACTGACTAGTTTAGCAAGATTTTACAAAAGTAAAAATAATATTTTAATACCCAGAAAATATGTAAACTGTACCAAATAATAATGCAGCTATCCCTCCATTTGCTTCATGAAATAAAATGGCAAAAGGGGCTAAACCATTCAGTGAGTACACCTATGCAATTGTTTAACAAATGCAGATAAAGAAGGTTAACAAGAAGGCTGTAAAAAATACAAGTATTGAGTTCGGATTACAGTAAGTAACCTATACAAAACTGTGCTGTCTTCTTACTACTGTTCAGAGACTTGTAACAAAACTGTATCATGCTATGGGTTAAAGCCCCACCTGAAAACTTCCTTCAGCAAAAGGTGTGAGTCAGTTGTGAGGATATGCAGCCTGTAAACAACCACTTTAGCAATAATCCATACTCCAAATAGGCTTCAAGCTAAAATCCCAATCGCTGGTAAGAAGTCTTATAATCCACAAATTACTAGCTCTAGTAAATGATTACAGTGAATTTGCTATTGTAAATCAAAGATCAACCTTAAATGCAGTGCCTATTTACATTTGGCTGCTCATATAACTTAATTAAACAACACAGAACTTTAATGCACTGAACACTGAGAGTTTCGAAGTTATCTCTGCTTCTAAATCAAAACTGTTATTCATGACAGTGTTTTAAACAGTCACAGTAGTGTTTCGTGAAAAGTTCAAGGCAAAAGACTAGCAATACTTTTCCTTGTGCCTTCCAGTGACAAACAGACAGCATCAGTTAAATGTATCATTTATTTATTTATTTTAAATTAAAATCTCATTCTTGACATGGCTTCATGGAGCTTTCCTTTCTTGGAAGCAGCTGATTTTTAGAACAAGCCTACAAGTCTCATTCCCATCCCAGTATCTGCCCTCATCAACACTGCAGAAACTCTACCATAAGATGTTTTACATATCTTATATATAAATACAAGCAAACTTCTCAGTAGTCAGTTATCACTTCTGGAAAGAAACTTCACCTTTCATAAAGAGTGCCTTGCATGTTGCTTTTGCAATAGCTGCATAACACAGAATTATTCATTCCTTACATGTTTCTCAGGTAGAGGCTGAGAATGGAGTGGTATGTGACATGTTATGCAAATGGGAAGAGTTTATTCAGATTTATATATTTGAGATATTTAATTTCCAATTGAGGGAAGGTATTCAAACCTCCAGTACCCATTACCAAAGTTGTTGAATACTCTTCTGGAGAATACATTAAGAGTGTTTCAACACACAAAGCTGGCCTGAAGTTACTCAGAAATATTTTCCAGGATATGCCTATTCATTAAAATTTACAAGACTCTGCAAAACACTTCTGATCTGATAAGAGGTGACAGACAACTTTACCACACTCTGGACTGGTAAAGGCTGCCTCTCTTCCCACCAGTTTGACCTGCTCTGCTCTCAGCAGCACCTTTGCTAAGATAAATGGCAAGCAAAGTGCTTGTTAAGTTCACGTCCCAAGATTTTTACCTTTTCAACATATTTGCTTGACAGCCTCAGGGCTCATCCACAGCTTATCAAGAAGCTGACAGGAGTCAAGGCTCTTAAATCACCCAGCGCTGCCCACTGCCTTTGATCCACCCCACAACAGTAAATGCTGCAACTGTGCCATATGCTTTGTCTGTAAAGAATACACTGGCCCCACAAATTACAAAGTAACATACAGAGCTGTTTTCTGGCCATCTAGGTCTATGCTCAGTGTGTTGGAACCAGTGTTCAAAGCCAAAACTCTTAAGCTGTATGAAATGCAGCCAAAACAAATTGATTCTCAAAGAATTTCCAAATTTACTCAGCAAAGCAAAGCAGTTTTTGATTTTCTTACTTAAGTGGAGTTCCCTTTTTCACTGTGCTCAGGAGCAATTTTACGGCAAAAATGGAACAGACATACTGTACCCTAAGTCCGCTGCGAAGCAAACTGGAAGTTTACTTTGAAAACAAAACCCAAGAGCTGTACATGGCGAGACTGAAGGGCAGAAGGCATACTACCCAAAAACGTATTTTTAATTAAGTAGAGTTCATAAATGCATTCCCTAGAAATTAATCAGTAGGTGAGTTTGCTGGAGGGTAAAGCCTGCAGCACTGCTTTTTGAGCATTAGATATTTCTTGGCCTCTCGCTAGAGAAACAGTAATCATGCAGTGATGCTTTCAAACGTATTGCAAATATTCTTTTTATCATGCATCAGATAAAGGCAAGGACAGTTCAGTAGTTAGACAAAACGATTCCAAGTCCAAACTTACACAAAGGCACACTTGGAGCTCCCTCGATAGCGTTAAGAGTCGAAATACAAAGCTCCCCTTCTAAACAGGTATGCAATAGAAGCAACTGAGTGGTGCCACAGAATAAAACAGCATCCTACAAATTTTTCACCTAAAAATTTACATAACATGTTGAAGCACAAATTTCTGGTCTGCGCACACAACGAGTTCCACCTAATTAAAGGAAATAAAACATGTAGCCGCTGAAAAGTGAATACAGTTCTTTAATTTGTCACTCCATTTTTTGGCTACGAAATGCCCATTTCTAATTTTTACCAGCAGAAAAAACAGAATTATATGTAGTTCACATAAGAGCACGACATAGCACATGAGTCAGTTTTTGACAAGGAAAGCCCAATACCATTATGGTAAAGTCTCTACTCACTGTCTATTAAACGAGACGCTGAGAAACTAATCACCACTTCCCATGGCTGCCTAGGAATATTATGTACTACGGGCAACGCCATAGGATTGAAGCCTAACACTTAACCGTGAGAAAGGCATCTAGCCACCAGAAAGCATCTGCCTTACAGCATGCCACCCCGCCTTGCTTCCTGCGGAATAGATGCTTCCTTGCACCGCTTGCTACGGAACAGACAGGGAGCTCCCTGCCTAGATGAGAAAGGCAGGAAGGACGGAGAACGAGTTAAAGCCTTGAGGCACGGCAGCGCCGAGGAGGAAGACAAACCAGGAAAACGCACCAAGTCTCTGAGGAAGAAAGACAAGCTGTGAGGCCGAGTGAGATGAAGAAACGCCTCCTGCCCAGCGTGGGACCCGGAGGCCCTCTCCTCGGCCCAGCCGGCCGGCATCTTTACACAAGAGTCCCTGGGAGGGCAAAGACCCAGGGGAAGCCCCCAGCGTTTCGCCCCTGCTTCTGCGGCCAGCTTCCCAGGAGCCCGGCTCTCCCCCGCCCAGAGGCGCAGCCGCGAGCGCCCGGCGCGGCGGAGACGCCGGCCACGGCGGGGGAGGAAGGGCCCCGGAGGGCGCTCGGCCGGGACGGGGCTTCCAGCAAGGG